GTCGCAGTAATTTTGGTTGTAATAAAGCAATAATACACAAAAACTGGCTCTCAAACATCTTAGGTTGCCTGTCAATACATTTAACCCCACAGCAGCCGTATTATTGGTGAAATAAGTGGGCACACACCTTATAATGCTTTTTAAGTGAATTATATAAAAAAATATATAACTGTATAGTTATTAGGAAAGATGGAAATAAGCTATAAAGATCTAAAGTGCTTTTTGCAGCAGACTGTAAAAATGTTTATTTCTGGTGTGCAGTCGGACATTTTAAAATGGGAGTCTATGGGTACGGACTCGCTGTGGGAGCCTCAAGTGGATTTTAGACGAACTGCAGCCGCCACGTTTGTTTCTTCCCAAGTGGGATCTTTTTGAATGTGTGGTCTTCCAAACTAAAAGTCACGGCTGATTTCTTGAAAGTTTTAAGTGACGTCTGAAGCTCTTTTCTTTTCTCCTGCTGCACTGCTGTAGCTTTTGTGGTTTCGTGAACCCAGTTAGGCAACACGCAGTCAAAAAACTGAAATGCACACACAAAAAAAAACATTCTTGTGTAAACTGGATTTCTTGTAATTCTTCACCCGGACTCAGGAAACTGCGTTTTCTTGTTTACGTGACATTTAAGAAGTCAGGTTAACGCCGACTGAGACCAGAAAATGCCCAGACTGGCTGTGCTTTTAGGGAGCCGAGGAGCGAGGCAGGAAAGGGTTAAGAGAGAATGGAATTACGTACGTGTGTGTGTGTGTGTGTGTGTGTGTGTGTGTGTGTGTGTGTGTGTGTGTGTGTGTGGGTGTGTGTGTGTGTGTGTGGGCGGTTGGGGGGGTTGTCTAAGCCCGTTCTCCCCGCCTGCATGCCCACATCCTGTGTTTTCCAGAGCAGCCTGTGAGTCTTCCCAAAGAGCTGAGGGGCCAAGCTGTCTGCCTTCCCCTCCTCCTCCTCCTCCTCTGCCATTCCCTTCATTAAATCCTCCCCTCCCTCTGTCCCGACCTTCCTCCGAGCCTGGAGCAACCATCAGCAGACTTGCATTCCTCTCTCCCTTTTCCTGGCCCCACACAGGGTTTCGAGCAGAGAGCCGGTGTAGACCTAGAAAGAGCCGAATTCACCATTTTCAGTCTGAGAGGAGTTCATTCTGGGGCCTCGCTGGCTGTTTTGAAGCATCTGAATTTGTGAAATAAAACACAAACACAGGGAAAACAATGCTAGAGGGACTAGAGGAGTGTGTATTGTAATAGTTTAAATAAAGAAACTGCCAGGATCCCAGTTGCCAGTGATTTTTAGCCTTTTTACAAGTGACATATTTATTTTTCCCCATAATCTTCTGAAATCAGGCAAAAAATTAAGTCTGGAAGGTAGAAAACACTTTAAAAAACACAGGCTATACTTTTTGTTAGATCACAGTGAAGGTGTAGTTTGCTAAAAGAGGTACTTTCAAGTCAAACTGAAGGAAGGTCATGCATTTGCCGAGGACTGTTTCCTGAAGGTGATTAATAAACATGTTAAAGAGCAACTATTCTACCTTTGCTGTCACATTGATATTAAAATAGGCTACTCAGACACTCGTTTTCACCCAGTGGACCTCTATGCTGTCACAGAGAGAGGAGGTTGCCCATATACCCTTATATGGGCAACTTGAGCACAAAAGACCCAGGCCCTTCTGATTACTAGGACCAGCCAATAAAAAGCTAAAATGGCTAAATGCTACCACTCACTGTTCAAAAATGAGTCCACAATAAAAAAGATGGCTGTATTGGTGTATATGATGCTAAAAATGAAAATTCCAGCAATGCTCACACAGCGCCCACGTGCTAGTCAAAGCCGCTGTACCCTGAAACATACGTAACTTTAAGCCTTAATGAAATGTAAACAGGTAAGTTATTTTAAAAAATCCACCCCCTGTACATTTATGACAGGTTAAACTATCCATAGAGGCCAAAACTCTTTTATTTCTGCTGTAAAGTTGTACCTTTTAACATGGGAGTCTATGGGGACTGAGTGACCACTAAAGCCAGCCTCTGGTGGATGTTAGAGGAACTGCAGCCTTTGGCACTTGATGTTTCAGGTCTGGAGTTTACTGCCTGGGTTATTATAAAGCGATCAGGGTGCTGTTAAATTGCTCTCTGATTAAACAGACGGTGGGTGGGTGAGTAAGCGACTCTGGCGAGTGTTCTTGAGCAGCGGTGCGGCTCGCTGATGTGTTTTTAATCGTTCCTAGAGGACAGCGGAGCTCTGTGAAGATTGGGAAAAGAAACGTAAACAGCCCTTGATAGCAGGAAAAATAGAAGTTATCACCACATAAAATGGTCAGCAGTTAATTAGAGAACAAAATGAACCACTGTAGGTTAACTGCTGTGATGGTTTATCAAAGTAACTTCTCAGTAGCGTTAATTGCATGTGTGTTATTGTCCCGCTAACGGTCTGTGACAGATAACCTACACAGGCTTTTAATGCTGTGTGTGAAGAGTTGGGCTGTGATCAATGACCGTTTGATGCTTTTACAAGTTAAACATTGATTGAATATCTGTTTAGACAAAAGGTCTGTGAGGCGTGTTTTTCCACCCCAGTTCTGCCCACATGATCGTGACCGATAGTGTCACGGCACAGACAGCCCGAACGCTCCTCCCATCCCCCCACCGCCGTTCCCCCCCAAAAAACAGGTCCATGTGTGCACACAAAGAGCCTCCGCTGGGCTCCTCCGCAACTGTTCTGAACAGAGTCGGCGTGAAAAACCAGTGGAAAGAATTCAGGTTCAGGTCGGGGCGAGCCACTTGCTGTGGCTGGTGTGTGTGTGTGTGTGTGT